GAATGGTTTTAGCAATCAAAATATCATATCTTCTTCAGTAAATGTGAATGTTTTCCATGGGCATCTCACCTTCTCGCAATTACCAGCTGAAGTGGAGGATTTTAATAATACAGATACTAGATGAAACAGAACTGTGTTCCATAAACACACTGGGCAAGTACAATATGGCTGGAACAGGTGTGAGCTTAATTTTCATCTGTGGCTGCTAGCAAGTCTGGTTACCTTTGCACACTCATTTGATGTGGTCATTCAGGGAAATCAGGGCAGATGGTGTGTCACTTTGTATGCACTTGCCAAAGATTTTTTACAACTTGAAGTCGCTGTCTCCAGCCATTATGAAAGCTCAATTACAAACAGAGTTTAGCTTAAAACTATTTGTGAGCATATCATCAGCACATGAGGAAAAGCGAGTGGATAAAACACTGCTTAATGCAGAGTATGAAGTATGTATTGCTGAGGAGTTTTGTTTTGTCTTGTTACAGCTGTCCCAAAAATAATCATGTTCCATTAAGCTATGTTTTAAATATTTTGAGGCATTTTTACTTTCTCTGCCTTTAGCTAATGCCATCATGTTCTTACGATCCATTGTATGCATTTGTTTTTTGAGTACAGTGATGAGAGATTTTTTTTTGCAATCTTTTATCTTTGATGTTAATGAAACCTACTCATAAAGCTAAACTGATACATATAACACTCCATAAAGAAAACTCACCTACTGTCAGTTGTCCAGTTAACTGTCCCATGTGATTTCTTGCATTCACTGTTACATTTCTGTCAGACTGCAAGACCAGCGGGCTATCCTGGGGAACATGTATAAGAAAATACATAAGAGAACAAAAAAATTGAGGTAGAATTAAGTTAGAACTAAATAGATAATATGGAACTAAATAGAGAAGGGAGCTGTGCCAAATACAACAGCCTTTTAATATTCTTACAAAGCATTTTACAAGTCTAATTTTCATATAAAAGAGCAACAAGAATATATTTTAAGCTTAAAAACTTTGTGCATAGAATCCCCACTTTAGAAATCAGAGTGAAATGTAGTTTATATAAATTGAGCTTTATTTCCTGAGGATATTGCAAAGTTACAAATTCAAAAAGCATTAATACAAACCTGTTTCATTATCCTTTTCCACATATACTTTTCTACTACCTAACCAACACTATACAACAGTATTCTATTAATTTGTACAACCCACAGTATTTGGATTGCACTTATTAAAACCTTACAAACCCAGCCATGCATTTCATTCACGGTAAATGGTATAATTATTCTCAAAAAGCAGACAAACAGCACTGGAAGGTGTTGTCATATAACAGACAACCCTGAGCAACTCTCAATGGTACCTGACAGATACTATTAGTGATCAAGCTGATATAGCATGAAGAGAAACACTGTATGATCAGTACTGCTATTTTTGGAGTCAATTTGCAGCACAGCTACGTTGCTACCAGCATACCACTAGGTAAGCTTTTAAGGAATATTTACACACATATATATGAGCACTGGAACAGGCTGCCCAGGGAGGTTGTGGAGTCTCCTTCACTGGAGACATTCAAAACCCACCTGGATGTGTTCCTATGTGATGTACTCTAGGTGACTCTGCCCTGGCAGGGGGGGTTGGACTAGATGATCTTTCAAGGTCCCTTCCAACCCCTAGGATTCTATGATTCTATGTGCATGCATATCCCGTCTCCAAAGCCAGATCTCCAGGGCAAGGACAGATGCATGGAAAAGGGAAGGAGTTTCAACAGAAACCCAAGAGAAACCCAGCATTAAAAAAATAAAATAAATAAAATCAGCTTGCTGATGATGCTCGCATTGGAGGGGGGATAAGTGCATGAGGGGAATGAAAGTTAGGATGATGGCTGTTGCTGCAGAGCAGCACTTTCCTCCCTGGCATCACCTGCTACCACACCGTTCATCCCCTGAGGCTTGCCGTGAGACCATAGGTACACCAATGCTTCTGGCAGTTTGCTAGCACTTAACTATTTTTAGGTAAGTTTCTCTAACAGCAGTGAGATACCTGACAGAAACAACTGAGGAAGTGCCCTGGGTAGAAATGGCTAAGAGCTAGGAAAATATTTCTGAAAATTATTATATACTCATTTTATTCTTAGATTCTTCCCTGGACATCCATTCTGGTAATTCCTGGATTGAGCATAATAAATTACATGAACTTCTGCATCTCTGTGTGTGTTCAAGCGTGTGTCACTTAATATACTGGTTCTTCCTGATCTTGTAAGTTTTTTAAAGAGAGAAGAAAAGGGGTTAAGGAAACAGATAGATAGATAGATTGCTTTAACCTGAATGATGTGTTAAGTTTGCACTTAAATTTTCTATACCTTACAATCCTTTCCCCTTTGAATCCAGGGCTTTACTCTGTGAAAAGCAGTCTTCTCAGTTGTTTTCACTGTGATTACTAACTTCAAATGACACTCAGTTCCCTGGGAAGTCTGAAATTAGTCTGAGCTAATTTCTAAGAGTTCAGGTGTGCTTCATCTCTCACTGGACCATGCTATGACCTCTCTAACGTCCTGCCAATTAGCTTTGCATCACAGAATCTGGCAGATGAAAGTAACTGTTTAGCTTGTCCATCTTTCTAGATAAAAAGCTGTAATTATCAGTGAGATGCTGTGTTCGGTGTGACTGGTTTGAACTAAACACGTGATGCAATCAAGGGAGCTTCTGGCAACAAAAGCAGATGCTAAGGACCTTTTTCGCAACACTTGATTTGATTTCCACTTTCCTTATGGTCCTTTGAAGATCATTAGTCCAGGCGACTGTTGCTCTGGGAAAGGAGGTTGTCCTGGTTCACAGCGGCATGGCCAAAGTATATTTTTAAGGAGCCCTTTTCACTTACATATTGTCAGTATTTAGAGAAATCTTTTCAGTTAGACTTCAGCACGGAGAGTACTTGCACCTTCAGCAAGAGAGTATTGGCATGCCTATTTTAGCCTGTTCAGGTAAAAGTCTGGTAACCTACACTTCCAAGCACTGTTCGTAGTCTGAACTGAAGATTTCTTTCCTTTCACCCTAGGAAAAACAGAAGATTCTCAGGCTAAAATCTGCCTCTCAGGCTTCTTGTTCTCAGACTCTTATTGTAAATACTTCTGTATTAAAAGCTCAAGTTCAGAATAATTAAAGATCAGGTGAGCCAAGTTTGCTTTCTTCTCTTGTTGTCTTATTTAAAAGACAGAAAGAGGGATACAGAAAAAAAACCTTAATTTTATAGTCCTTAGATCCTGGATGTCAAATTTAGAGCTGCAAGCTTAAATCCTGGACCAAAGAAAGTCCAGTGGCAAAACTCCTATCAATTTAAGCAGTACAGCATTTTAACTACCTGCACTGTCTGCCCGCGCCTCTGTTTTCCATAAGAAGTGGCAAAAGACAGATGTTCAAGGTATTACAAGGTAGTATACTCAAAGGAGTTAGCAACTCAGATAAGACTTAGCTGAAATCCGTGGAATTATAGATCTTCAAGATAAGTATAAAGTAAGGAGAATGTCAGTCATGTTAATACAAATTAACATACATCTACAACATAAAAGTGCTGGACAATTTCCTCTCTTGAGCCATCAGATCTGCTGCTTTTTTGAAATTAACTTCATCTTGCAATTTAATAGACTTGATAATTAATTCATCCATTAATATTATTTCTTGACAGTTTATTTGAATGTATGAGAAACAGAAATAAGAAGGCAGGTCTCTCTTGCCCATCCCAAACTTTCAATCCCTGGAAAAGGCCACTTCATACTTTTAGTTCTAGTGCCCTGAATTCAGAAGCTGTTTTTGCTGTCTGAAATTGGAGTACACAACACTGGAACAACGAGGTTGCTGAGGCAGAGAAAACTTAAGACCTCTTTTGGATTTCCAGTATTATTCAATGTTGGAGCAAAGTAGTCCCTAAAATCCAATACTACAAGCTGAAATCTATATTATTACATCTTCTTCCACAAAAAGTGCACACAAAAAATTGTAACTGGATAGCTGACCTTTTTCTTCCTGCTTTTTGTCACAGAAATTCAGATCTTGCCCTCCTATTTCATCACTTGCATAGCAGACATACAAACAAGGCTTATTTCCCACTCTCTATAATTCCAACTTGAACTGCAAGAATGTGTGATTAAGAACAGAAGTAGGCTATATACATTTTGTCTGGGAATATGCATATTTTTGAAGCATTTATAGGAATAGTTTCACAATATACTGCAAAGCCAGTGGAAAATCTGTAAGTGGGACAAGTCATACTTTTCATGTGATGATTTTGTAAGCACTCATGCACATCAATGGCAGCTAGTTCCTCAGCGGGAAGTTGCTTTCCTTCAGTTATACTATCCATCTACAGGACAATGAAAAGTTTGCTTTACAAACACATTAAAAAACCAAAAATAATGAATGTCATAGATAGTGAGATTTTGCCAGCTTTATTTTTTTCTGCAAATTATTTCTGAACTCAGCTCATCTTAATGTGGAAAAAAAAAATAAAATTGTGGAAAATAAAATACTGAATCTCGTGTCTTTAAAAGGTCTAATGTATTGATTTTTTTTTTTTTTTTAAGCTAAATCTTTTCAATAAAAACATTTGAGGCAAAAGATTTTATCTGGGGAGCACAACTTTCTGTGGCTTTCCCGAGTCCTTACCGAATCACAATTATCAAAGAAATTTTCATCCCAAATATAACTTCTCCTGATTTGTATTCTGGACTGACTATAAGCCTTTATATCTGAAACATGAAACATTCTCACAGAATTGTCTTAGATGTTACTCATTCATTAATAATTATTTTTAAAAAAACAAACACAACAGATGTAATTTTGAAAGAATAGTCGCAGGCTGTAAATACAGCAGCTCATTAACAGAACATTTGAACTATTTCTGCAAGTGATCTTCAGAAAAGAGTTAGTAAATGATTAGTGATGCCATTTCAAAATGATACAAAAAGCAATACATAAGAAGATTCTTACAGTTAAATAGGGCTTTTAATAATAAAACCCCTCCTGGCATGGTTGTCCTGCTTGGCTCCCCTCACCCCTCAAGGTGGACCTATTTTGAGGATCTCAAGAATTCCTGATGCTCATGATACTGCATGAGATGACTCCTGTTACAAGTGTTACAAGTTACAACTTGGAGATTTTCAGTAGTGTATTATGGGAATACCAGGTGAACATGAAATTATTATAGTCACCACTTATCTGAAACAGCTTTGCAGTTCGGATTCATGAAAGTATCAATAAACAAAGGAATTTAGGGGATATTTTAAAAAACTTTCTGGACTCTGAATCCAGCTACAAATACAATGGAAATGGAAAATTTGGATAAAAACATTGGTTTGGTGTTAGTTTTTTTCATGGTGCAGTACTAAAAAAGTCAACTTTTATTTTTAGAATTAGATGAGCAGATTACAGTAAGTATATGAAAGATGGATACATCACTTTGTAAAGTTATTTCACTAAAAAATAATCTGCATGAGCAATCATAGCAAAACTCATTTTTTACAGATGGTTCAAATAGTGATAACATTTTTGACAAATTGCATGCCTTTTAGACACCATTCAAATAGGCAATCCCAGCTAATTAGCTTAGTTTTGAAGAGAATTTCCAAACTGCATTATTTAAATTAGAAACAGTTTAAATTGAACAATTTAATTCCGGTTAGTTTAAGTCAACATTAGTTTAGTCTAGGTAAGATTTTACACTGTATAATTAAAGATAATCCCAAACTTATGTTCAGAAAACTGTTACTTATGGTAACACCACTCACTTGGACACTGTTAGCAATAGTAGCAATTTGTTTA